AAAAATTGTGTGTACATTCCATAAAACTTTCAATGGTAAATATAAAAATTCAAATGATATAAGGACACAAAGGCCCTTGCTCTTGGCTGAGAATTTAAGTTATCGTAGAAACCTTGATTCTTTGTTGCTATTGACTTGGAATTTATAAACCTTTTTTGTAAACATGTTTCCATTTTATTCATCCACTAGCTGTTGCTCTCAAAGTTGCCTGCATGAAGTTAAAAAATGAAATAGCTTTTTATTGGTGAAAGTAATTTTGAAATCGGCCCAGTAGTTTTTGAGTTATTTCAATATATACATAAATACAAATATTTCCTCTATATATTATATTAGTATTAATAATAATTTAGATCATATGTAATTTATTTATTTCCAGCTGATGCAAGAAGGTGGTTTGAAGATAACAGACTGTAACAATCACATCAAATCGGCGGTAGATTATTTTGGAGACTCGTGTGCACCGAATTCATTGAAGGATATATACAATCCTATTGGAGATAATCCTGACAAGTAAGTTATTTTAATTTTCATCTTATTTTATAAGTTTAGTTTAACATCAGAATTTTATTTCAAACATTACTGTTTTATTTTCATACTAATTATTAAAACTATTGAAATAATTACAATGCAAATATTATAAATGAGATAATGTAGATGGATGGCTACTTACTTTTTTTTAATTACACGCGAACGGAGTCACGGACGATATCTAGTAATAAAATATAAGTGAATTTGACGGTGGTGGAGATACATAGGAAGGGAGATTTTCCTCTTTATGTGCTACCTCCTCCGTCTATTAAGGATAGGCAATGTGATTGCAGATGGCTATTGCAGTGGTTGATTCGCTTTTTTGGCGAATTCCGGACCCGCTCGCAATTTGCTATTTTATCTATACTGATATTATAAAGAGGAAAGATTTCGATTTTTGACTCAAAAACTACTAGGCCAATTTAAAGAATTTTTTCACTATAAAAAAGCTATATTATCGCTGAGTAAGATATATAATATTAAAAAAATAATAGGAAGTAGGCAAACTACTAGTAGAATATATAGTGTTGCGGGGCGGAGAGAATATTCTTTTTTTTTATGTATGAAATATTTTTTAGGTTATGTAAGCTGTGCACCGGCGGTGCAGGTATCCGCTGCACGTTGGCGGACCCTTACGCCGGGTACGAGGGGGCTCTCAAATGCCTGGTCTCCAACAACACCGGGGACATCGCTTTCGTAAGGGATACAACTATACAACACGCCTTATTATCACATAAGATATTAGGTAAGTTTACAACTAGCTGTTGTTGTTTATACGGTTTTTTATCCCTTTCCTGCACGATTTTCCAATTTATTTACTCCCTAAGTTTATGAACGTGAAAATGTATAGCCTAAAGCGTATACTATGTGTGGGGTTTTTTTATTAGTAAAAGAATTATTCAAACATGTACTGTGTTTGCCTACATCCTATATAATTAAGTAATGTGTGTTTATGCTTTATTATTTTAGTATAGATTAATAAGATAACAGATAAAAAAGGATCCTATTACTTACATTTTGTAAAACTTTTATTTTAAAAGTCAACATTTAAATGCTAAAATGACAAGGAAGGCTTACTTTGGCTAATAATAATCG